CTCTTAAAATGAGCCAGCTGAAAATAATCTGTCGTCCATATCTTTTCACGTTATCACTTCCGGGATACTCTACATAGCTCTATCAAGAAATTCTCATTGTCTCCTTAAAGAGGGCATGCGAATACACGGATAAAAAGGAAGAGCCCGACACTCAAACTTGTGTTGCGCTAATTGCCCCACCCCCAAGGTTCTCCACTACGTCCCCAAGGACCAGGTACAGGGTCGGGTTCCGTAATATAACAGCCCCACGCGACCGGATCATTAATATTCCGGGTTTTAGGCCACGCTACACTGTGAAGCTGAGTACTAAACAGGCTCGATGGTTGGAGTTGAGAACAAGGAAATGCAGATTCTTTGCTTTTCACACATAGACGTTGTTTGTATCGCTCTTTCAAGACGAGTCATCATCTGCATAAATAGTATGAGGTCGCGCCACTTCCCCCTATATAGCTTGACTAAAGAGATATCCTATTTACAATTAAGTGAAGCATTGAAATCAAGCATAGGTACGTTGATTATTGTGAAGAATGCATCTCTAGCTGCCTTTCCGAGCTTCATAGAATGGCATCTTCAATTAGCTATGTTTTTCCGAAGAATCTGCGCCAGCGAATCATCCAAGTAAGCCCCAATCGTCACAATTTGATAAAGAGTTTCTCATAGAATTGGGAGGGAGTATAGATGAACGGTTGGAATTCGTTTTTTTCACCGCCGTCCCGACCTGAAAGGCCTCGATTTCCGCCGCCTACTGGCCAGAATCTGAATAGGTGTCGAGCGTTCGAGGTCAGTTCCCTTTCATAAAATGAAATTCCACTAAGCTAATATAAAAAGATGGCTGGCGAGGGGTTCTCAAGAGAAATCGTGAGCCTCCAGCAAGTAGGCTACATGAATGATCAGGGCCCGCCAGATTGCCGGGCAATGGTCTGTACAAAATTCATCAAAGGTCAAGAAAGATTTGAGCTGAAAGAATGGGCTCGCCTATATTTGAGAGAGTTGACTCAAGTAAAAGGTGGCCAACGTGCTTTGGAAATATTTGCAGCGAATTTTCCGGAATACATCAAGTGATAATACCTCGAGTAGTATGCATATCCCTATACAATCTCTGAATCAAAATGTTCACAGAATCCACAGGCATTAGTGACGTGACCGTATGAGCAACTAAGGTTGATAAACTCTTGCTGGGCTTCGCATTGGCAGCACCAAGCTCTCGACTTTTTCTGTACTCTGGCCTGCAAGTTTTGCTTTCAACTTCGCATTTCATTCAAAAAGTGCGAGGCCGTGCTTGATAGACCTTGGTAGTCAGATTCACACTCCGGATCGGGCTCGATTTCAATATCGTTTTGCGCTTGCCCCATCGAAATCCATTGAGATAACACCCAAACGGTCGATCTCCTGGTCAAGGACACCCCACGACTTCGTACCAAGCTTCGACACGTCGATATACACCATCATTGACTTCGCCAAGAAGTGCAGAACGGTGCGTTCCGTATCAGCCGGTTCCCCCACCAAAACGGATGGCCGCAGACGGCCTGGCAAAGCTCTTACCAGCGGAGAACCATGCAGAATTCATGCGAACGCTGGGGCTGGTGGACATACAGCACCTGATCAACGATAGGTAGCCTCAGCCATCAGGAGAAGGTGGATGCTGGGGGGGTGTGTCGGTAAATGTGGAGAGGAATCTTACTAGCGTAATTTGTTTCATTCAACACCCACAGTTTCCTGATTCCCAAGACATCAACTGCTGAATCAGCTCGAAAGAGCCCCTTATTTTGGTATCAGGATTATATAGAAATACATATCTCAAGTACGATGCAATGGCATCATTGGCTTATTCTAGTGCTAGTGCATACTGCCTCTCTCGGAACCAATACATAGCAACAAGGCCCAATTAATGACTCAGCAGGTACAAAGCCGTTCGTAAGCTTCGGGTTTTGAGTACGAGAAATATCGAAAATTTCGTAATTCTCCGCATCTTAGAAGAGTGGGAAGAGAGATTGGAGGATGTAATCCATGGCCAGAAGAAATCCATGCTAGGTCGCATGTCGATCAAGGCTCGAGACAGGGGGCAAAGACAGGGGCTGAAGAGGATCGGGAAGGGATCGACGAATCTATTTGGAATTATGGGTACAATAAGGTTACTGCATCAATCGATCCCAATGTGTGCCTGTAAACAAATAAACACAGCTAGAAATTTCTAGTGACAAACGGCAACTTGCACCCCGAATGGGCCAATTAAAACCGAACATTCACGAGCGAAGAGGGCACTAAAGTATAAGTGTCGACTACATCTCAAATGCTACCCGGTTCTTGCCAAGCAACCCAACCCCCATACGGGTGTTGGGTTACCATAGGCAAATGCAAACGTTAACCAATACACCATCTTTACTACCCTTTTACTACCACCAATATGCCTAAAAAAATCCCAGATTTGGAAGACCATATTACTAGTGCTCTCTCTATCTAGCATACGCGTAAAAAACCAAAAATCGCACTATTAGCGCGGGAATTTGGCATTCCCTACTATACCCTATATAGTAGGGTTCACGGTCGGGCTTCTCACTCGGCTTACCACCTAACCAATTCAACATTAAGCGAGGATCAAGAGCAAGTAATCATTAGTTAGGTGACTATACTAGACGATGCTTACTCTCCGCCGACTACTAAAATGGTGGAAGCCTATATAAATTTAATACTTAGGCGGGAAGACCGTCTACCGGTTGATAAGAACTAGGTATACCGGTTTTTAAAGCGTATTCTACCACTCTACCACCTCTATTTTATTAAGTAAAAACCGAAGGAGAGGAAGAGAATATAAGCTAAGAATATTAGCTATCTTACTACTTAGTATTAGCGGTTAAATTAGTATATTTAAAGTAATAAATTACGACCGCGGGATATCTATAATTTTAACGAAACCGGCTTCTAAATTAGCTAAGGAAAGGCTTAAAAAGTCGTTTTAAAAAGTCCTACTTTATACTCGCCTAATAGAGGGGTATCTAAAAGTATTACTAGTATTAAATGTATTACTACCGATAGTTAGAAGATACCACTATAGTTCTTAGTTAAGGGTAAATTTTATATAGAGAATTAGTATAAGTATACTAATCTTCTAGATAACTATACCCTAGCTACTACCCTTAGTAGGTATATAACCGATAAGATAGCTATTTAATAGCTTTATACTTTCTACGATACTATAAAGGATCGTACTATACGCGGTAGTAAACGCCTTTTATTAATAGATAACTATAGTTCCTACCGTACGCTAGAATTTATCTAATTTATAGCGGCTAAAGGTATTATTCCCTATTACTTTATACCCTATATAATCTATCTATACTAGCCGCTAGATAGTAAGCTATTCTAGATATTAAAGTATTACTACTAAAGTAATAATAATAAGGTAGTTTAATAGGGGGGATCTATAGACCGGAAGTTAGATTTCTTTCGAGAAATTATAGTAGTTCGCGAAGCCTTTATACCTACCCTAAGTAATTAAATTAGGATTTACTAATTATAGTATATCCCCCTTTAATTATAAAAGGGTACTCGATCTACTTAAAAAAGAGGTAGATTACGGGGAAGATCTTATTATCTTTAGTGAAGATAAGGGAAGAGATAAAGATCCCGATCTTAATATCCCGAGCTTAATTACTAATTTACCGCCCCGTATAATCTCTTATATATACGAGAGTACCCGGAAATTAGAGGCAGATATCGAATTACTAGATAGTACGCTTTATATAGCTATTCGGTAAAGAGTAAAGCTACTCTACCGAAGTGCACGGATATTAATTAAGCTTATTACTTAGCTTACTAAGGATAATACCTCACTTTTATAGTATAAAGTAAGTAGGGATACCCCTAATACTAAGCGGTAGGTTAATATAGGGGGTCCCCTTACTACTAGCGATGCTAATCGAATAATCCGTTCGCGTAAAGCTAAGGAGTACGCCTAAGAAGAGAGGCGGTTAAAAAGGTAGTGCTTAAAGCAACCGACTACTATAGAATCCCCTACCCCTATACCACGTTTTATACCATAGATTCCACCTATAGATAATATGCCTACCCCCTAAGTATTTAATACAATTTTTTTAGATTTTTTATATACTTTGTTAGTTAAGAAAAATATAAAAATATTTGATACGTTGGTTAAAATTTGCATTTAGTAAGAGTTTGCATTTGCCTATGGTAACCCTACACCCGAAGGGGGGTAGGGTTGCTTAGCGAGAACCGGGTAGTAATTTACCTATCCGCTTATCACATGATCTTTTATTACAGTATCTTTCAGTGCCGGAAATTCAGATAGAAGCTAGAGCGAAATGCTAGAAGCATGATGGATCTGCTGTGGTTTTCTGGGTGTACTAGTGGACCTTTCATATACTAGCGCGTACAGTATTCTCTCAGGATTCACAATATCGTAAAATATTCTCAGGTAAATTCCCAGAAATCGACATGCAGATCCACCATATTTCTAACATAAGACCACACCCTCCCCTAATGCCAAGCCGCTTTATCCGAATTGGTAATCCGTAGTGGAGAAAGATACATGGTATCGACAAGACTGCGAGGCGAGAATGGGGGCCAAACGAGAATTGGTAATCCGTAGTGGAGAAAGATATATGGTATCGACAAGACTGCGAGGCGAGAATGGGGGCCAAACGAGAAGAGGATTCAGGGGTGGCTTTTTTTCCGGCTCTTCTACTGAATATTTAGGTCTGGTGGCCCTCGTTTTAATCCAGGTGCCGAACCGTTTCTCAATCCTGCGAAAAAGATGGCCACATGGTCAACATCATTGTCTGCCCTCTCGATACTCCAATTGGTACATGCAATCACTTTCTCGACTCTTGTACCTACAGGCACACATCATGTAACCTCCGAACCACCAAAACCCACTCCAGGATTGCAGCTGTATCGCCGTGATTCATCCGCTGCTATGGAAACCCTAAATACGATCCTGACCGACACTCCCGCCGTATGCGGATGGTTTGACACCATTATAGATGCCGGTAAGTAACATCTTTTGGCAGCTTAGGCACTGTCTAGGAAATGATGAATTAACTTTGACGCGTCGATTAGCTGATCCCAGTACGTATGCGTGCGTTGGTGACAACAGTTGTGTTTATCATATGTCAAACACGGCTTTCCCCGGCTTGGTAGGATGTTGCTCGGGCAATGACTGTGGGTTCTCGAGCACTTGTTACAATAGCGCCAAAGTCGCTGCAAATCCATCTGTTCTTTCAGGCAACACAGCCTTCGCACTTTTCTGCACAGAATCCACAGCAGCAGAGTGTGGGACGTACACATGGGGGGATGCCGACCTAACCGACTTCCAGTGTGATAGCACTGCCTACCTGTCAAATATCTACACCAAGGGAACCTGGGGAGGAACTGCGGATGGGACAATACTCCTGGCGACTCAATATATTTCAACCATGGGCGATGAATTCATGAGCACGTACTTATCTTCATTTGATGTGTCAACCTCAATATCAAAACCAAACCGTCAAGCGTCGCTCACGGGATCTACGACTGCGACTACAACCGCCGCACAACCAACCACAGCCAACTCTGGCAATTCCGGCTCACCGACATCTGCTGGCACAATTGCGGGTAGCGCTGTTGGGGGTGTTGCTGGCGCCGGTGCTATTGGAGCCATTGCCGTCTTCCTGCTTATGAGGAAGAAGAAGAAACAGCGCCAGCAAAATCGGTCGAAGACGTTAGGGCAAAATGTGTACCAGTCCGCACCAGAGGACCAGTCCGGCCAATCTACATGGGAAATTCAACAACCTTTTGAGGTTGAGAGTCACCCAGCCTCCAGCCTTAGAAAGGTTCAAGAAGGTAGTCCTGGCAGTGCGCCACAGGAAATCGATTCCAAACCCTTTATTGCCGAGTTACCAGTGCCGGACGATGGAAGGCGTCATTATAAGTAATAAAGAGTCAGAAGAAGAATAGGCGTGGCGGGCGATTTCAATTCATGAAATGTATTTACAGACACATGTTTTTAATGAATCTTTTCGATTTCATAATTTCAATAAAGAGTATCTAGTATGATTTGGTATAGCTAAATTTTATAACGATGATTAAGGAGATCCATGTTATGGACATGCTAGTTGCCAATCGATGGCGACCCCATATATGACACGGACGGGCCGCCGAGATCCAATCAACCAAGTCTTACTTATTCACACCGCCTCGCCGATCCTAGGAGATGGTTTTTTAGGGGGAAAAACCACACCGCCTTCATCTGCCGGATCACGTGACCATATAGGTAGTAGAACGGTAGACGGTAGATTAGTAGAAAGTGCTAAGGTATTTCTACCACTCTACTCTCTACTTATCTATATAGGAAGAACCTAGGGATATATAAGGACACTCATTTATATATCTAGTTTGGTTCTTCGTCTTCAATTATATATTGTTACTTATGTTTACCTTTAGATTACTAGTATGACTTTGTGATTCAGAAAGGATCGCATGGGTTGTATTAGACTGGGAGTACTAGACTACTATATATACGTCTATGCGGTCACGTGCACCCAGCTTAGTCTGGTCACGTGCACCTAGCCCCGTACGGTCACGTAAACCTGGTTCATATGACCATACAGAGCTCTGCGTATCTCAACTTCTTACTTGATTATAACTCGAACACCTATTAATTGACTAATACCTCGGTATAGATCAATTAAGCGCTCTACCTAGCATCGTTCCTCGATACCCTTAAAAGTAGGCCTTAACAAGTGCAGCGGTACCGGTGCAACGGTACTAGTGCAACGGCTGCACTAAGGCCTTAGTTCGGTGTAGTTATACGTGGGGCCGACTACACTAAGGGCGAGGTTCGGTGCAGCGGCACTTTAGCTATAGTGTAGCTGCACTATAAATAATATAAATATTGCCTAATTCGGCCTAGGTATATATAATTTATATAAACTATAGTATTACTAAGTATTATAGCTTTCTTATATAAATTATAGCATTACTAAGTATAATAGCTTTCTCGGTGATACTATCTTAGCACTATAAATTTATCTTAGTGAATTTAGATTTAGAAGTTTCGAAAAGAAATTTTGATTCTAAGACTATCTTCTATTTCTTCCTAGTAGCCTTCGTCTTCTTAGTAGTCCTAGGCTTATTATAAAGCGGATCTCTAGGGTATACCTACGGATTATACGGATTATCATCCTGTCGAATAAGTGGGACTAATATGAACTAATACCAAAAGCTTACTATATAGAGCAAGTGGTAAAATGAGTGTAATTTCTAAAAAGGAGCAAGTTGCTTAGCTTAGTAGCTTGCTACTTGCTGACTAAGTAGAGCTAAGGTGGGCCCTGTAGCTAGAAAGTAAATATAGGAAATGACGGGACGGGGAAGTGTATTTCGGGCTGACATATCCCTTAGACGCTTCGACCCTCGAGATAGACGCTAAGTGCCCGCTTACTAGGTGCCCGCTTACTTAGCGTCCGCCCGCTTAGCGTCTACTTACTACGTGCTAATCTAGCTAAATAGTTAGATATCCCTAGGGGGCGGCCTCGGTATAAGCGGCCTTAGTATAAGCGGCCTCGGTATAAATAGCCTCGTCTTCTTCCCTAGATATATCCTCTTTAGCACTATCCTCCTTAACGCTATCCTCTTCTTCTTTATTATTACTAATTATAAAAGTAGTATTCTTAGAAGGCACTTTAGTCTCTTTAAGCTATACTTCTATCTACTTATCTACCTCTATCACCTCTTCTAGGTTCTTAAGCCCCTCCTCGTTTTATATAGATAATTAAGCTATAGCTTACTAATGTTACGCACTATAAACTGGTTATAGTTAGGGTTAGTAGATCACGGGTTATACTTATAGGGGATCTCTGATCTTCTAACGTTAACGATCTGTCTCTTAACCGTCCTATTACTAATAGGCCTTACTATAGGTTAGGTCCTTTTAAGGGTATCGAGGAACGATGCTAGGTAGAGCGCTTAGTGGGTCTATACCGAAGTATTAGCTAACTAATAGGTGTTATTAAGTTATAATTAAGTAAGAAGTCACACTAGTAATCTAAAGGTAAACACTAGTAATAATATATAATTAAAGACGAAGAACTAAACTAGATATATAAATAAGTGTCCTTATATATCCCTAGGTTCTTCCTATATAGATAGGTAGAGAGTAGAGTAGTAGAAATACCTTAGCACTTTCTACTAATCTACTATCTACCGTTCTACTACCTATATAGTCACGTGATCCGGTAGATAAAGGCGGTATAGTTTTTCCCCTTAAAAAACTATCTCCTAGGATTAGTAAGGCGGTATAGACGGGTAAGACCTAGTTAATTAGATCTTAGCGGCCTATCTATATTATATATAGGGTCACTATCGATTAGTAGCTAGTATATCTATAATACTACCTTACCCTCTTCTAGAGTTTCGTCCTTAAGACTTATAAAGCCGCGATTCCCGCTAGATAGGTAGTCCCCTTTTCTTTTTTCTAAAATAATATATTCTTATTATACCTAAATAAAAGGCTAATTCTATATCTAAACTTATTCCTAAACTCCCTTCTAATTTTACTAATACTTATTATCGTTAAGTAGTTTATATTAAAGATAATAGTTTTACCCCTATTATCGCTTATAACTATTATATAGTAGCTAGTATATCTTACCTAATAGATCGCTTTTAGTTATATTCGAAGTATATAGTATATACCTATATAGATCGTATATATAAATATAATTTCTATACTAGCTAGGAGTAGGATTTATTATATTATACTAAAGAAAAGCTTTTCTCTAATCTCGAATTAAATAAAAGTAAACTTAATTTATTAGAATCTAAGTTAGGCGAATTATAGGCTTATCTTACTAAGCTATATTAAAGATTATTAAATAAATAAAAATAATACTAGAAAGCTATATCTTAATAACGTTAGTTATAAAAATAGATAGCTTTTCTAAAATAAAAGGGTTTTAAAATATTAGAGTATAATACTAAATTACTTTATATTCTTAATAAGAAATAAATATCCCTAGAGTAGGCTTTTCTTTCTACTCTTAACTTTAAATAGCTTACTACTACTATTAAGAATCTAGACTTTAATTAGATTTTAATAGAGTTAACTAATCTACTATTATCCTTCTAGAATAATCTATCTTTACCTATTAATATTAATATTATTAGTAGAACTATTAAACTAACTAATAGTAGCCTATTAGGTTTTTAATAGGTTCTTATATATCTTTAGTAAGATTATATTTTATCTATCTTACTAGATAGTAAATTTTTCTATTAATTTATTATATATCTAGGACTTTCTTAACCTTAAACTCTTTAGATTCCTCCGCGATATCTATATCTATAGCGATATTAATATATTCTAGTATAGATTTAAGTAATATAATATAAAATACTAGATAAATCTTTTATATACTATTTAGTAGTTTTAAGTAATAACTAACTAGTCCTAATTTCTTTTTAATTTAGAATAGTCCTATTTATAGATAATCTAGTTTATTACTTAGTCGCTTTATCTTAATATTTTATTATAAAAGATAAACCTTTTCCCCCTCTTTTAGGTTAGGTCCCTTCTTATAAAAGTAGTTATAGTGCTTTTTTATATATAAATTAATAAAGTTAATATCTCTTAATAGTTATATATATAACTATTATAGCTTAGTAGCCTTAATCCTTACTAATTTAGCTATAGCTATTTTACTAATTAGTTCTCCTAAAATCCTAGGGTTATACCTATAGTTAGTAAAGAATAGTGATTCCTATATTATAGAGTGTATAGTATTATTATACGCTAGTTATACTATCGGTAATAGTCCTACCTAGTTATCTTACTAGTAGTTTACGAAGTATTATAGGTACTATTTTACTATCTAGTTTACTCTCTCTATCTAACTATTAGTCTATAAATAGTATATAGTAGAGAGTTTAAGCTTAATACCTATTTAATCTATAAATGATTACTATATATTCGACGTAAATAGCTTATTATTACG